AGAAAGAAAGAAAGAAAGAAAGAAAGAAAGAAAGAAAGAAAGAAAGAGAGAGAAAGAGAGAGAAAGAGAGAAAGATAGGGTAATCTGTGTTTGAATAGTGCTTGCTTTTTTTCCAGAGGTTCCAAGCTCAGATTCCAGTACATAGAGAGTGGCTCACAACCACCAATAACTCCAGCTCCAGGGGATCTAATCCCCTCTTCTGGCCTTTAAGGGCACCTGCAGATGAGTGAGCGTGCATACACACACACACACACACACACACACACACACACACAGTCCTTTACAATTTTTTTAGACTGGTAATCCCTTGTTTCTCATTGCTCAGCCCATCATGCATATTACCCAGTGATATAGCATGGATTTTCTTCAGTCTTGGTGATACTTGTGTAGCATTGTTTCAGGCTCCATCTAACACTCAAAGACTGGTTATAGGCCAGGTGTGGTAGTGCATGCCCATCATTCTGGACAGACCTCAGGCTGAAGTAGGAGGATCACAGCACCAGTTTGAGGGCAGCTTGGGCTCTTCAGATTGTTCAAGTTTCCACCAATTTAAAACCTTTCAAGCTATGTAGAATTGCAATGTCATAGATGTGTTGATTGGAAATCTGAAAACTTTTTGTAAGGAAAATGGATTTAAGGAATAAGGAAAAGGAACAATGAAAGATATCTGTTTTTAAGCCTGTGGATGATTGGCTGTGTGTGGCCGTGGACATGTCTCTTTCCTATAATTTCATTTCTCTTTAAAGAAAAATACCAATTCTGGTTTTTTGAAGCTTGGCAAACATTTTAAATTGTTTTGGGACGGGCCAATACTGCTCAGTGGTCGTTTCTATTTATTTTTAGAGAATGTTTCACTAAGTAGTTCATACTGGCCTCAGACTCCAGCTTCCCAAGTGCTGAGATTACAGCCCTGTTCCACTTTGTCTGGTCTAGACATTGAGGTCATGATTGTTAATTCCCAAGTATGTGGTCAGGTGCCAGAGACAGATCAACTACTCTGCTCCGTTACTTAATTTCAGCAGTTATTCCTAGGTGTGATATGTGGTCTCTCTCTTTTCAGGTAGAATGGAAGAGTCTCACTTCAATTCTAACCCATACTTCTGGCCTTCTATTCCAACAGTCTCAGGGCAGGTAAGTGCTGTTTGCTTTTGTTCTGTCCAGCATTTATTTCAGCTCTGAGTACTAAGTTCTTCATCATTGGTTCTACTGTGTGGGGCTGAAGCAAAGTAAAACACGTGTTATTTCACTGAATCCTTTATTATTGAGAGTAACATAGTGCTTGGGCCTGGCTCCTGTCCAGAAACAATATATCAGTTCCTTGTTGCTTGCTCTCCGAGATGATGATGATGATGGGAAGTCCTTAGGGGCCGACAGAATCAGACTGGCTCTTTCTGAAGAGGGCTCTCCTCTGACCTTCCTTTTAGATTGAAAACACTATGTTCATCAACAAGATGAAGGATCAGCTGTTGCCAGAGAAGGGCTGTGGACTGGCGCCACCTCACTATCCCACTTTGCTGACAGTGCCTGCCTCAGTGTCCCTGTCCTCTGGCATCAGCATGGACACAGAGTCCAAGGCAGAACAGCTGACTCCACACAGTCAGGCATCAGTTACCCAGAATATCACAGTGGTCCCTGTGCCATCTACAGGACTGATGACTGCGGGTAAGCACCCCTGCTCCTCTCCAATCTGAGGTGTTGATCTCCCATGATCAGTACCCCAGTCTGGAGGGCTCTGAAGAAATGGGGAGTGGGGTATATGTTTAATTCCTCAATCAGATTTTTATTAAGTGCCTACTGTGTACCTAGCAATGTGCTAGGCATTGTGGGGGATACAAAGAAGTAGAAGATGCGGTCCCTGCCTTTGAGGAGGTGACATTCTTTCCTTCTCTGAATCAAGGAGTCTCCTGTTCTCAGAGGTGGAGAAGAGAAGGGAGTCAATCAAGGGGTAAATCTCACTGTTACCAGGGGGGCTGGGGACAAGGGTTAGGAAACCATTATTTTTTTGTACAGGGTTTGGGATTTCCTGTATATTATGGGCTGGAGGGTGGTGGTGTGGGGTTAATTTGACAGCTATGGGGGGGGGGGTGAAATAGATTAATGTCAGAGATGAACAGCATGACCCCATCTCCTTTTTCTCCCCAACCCCAGGTCCTGGTTTGGTAATCACATCCCCATCAGGCTCTCTCGTGACCACAGCCTCGTCAGCCCAGACCTTCCCTATTTCGGCTCCCATGATTGTCTCAGCTCTTCCCCCTGGCTCACAAGCCCTACAGGTGGTCCCTGACCTCTCCAAGAAGGTAGCATCAACCCTACCTGAGGAAGGAGGCGGAGGTGGTGGTGGTGGTGGCACTGTGGCTCCTCCTAAGCCTCCTCGGGGCCGCAAGAAGAAGCGGATGCTGGAATCAGGGCTTCCTGAGATGAATGACCCTTACGTCCTTGCCCCTGAGGATGATGATGACCATCAGAAAGATGGCAAGACCTACAGGTAGGAATCAAAGCCAGGGGCAGGACAGGTTGAGGGTCACTGAAGTCTCCCCTATCTTCTTTGGGTCCTGCCCCAAGTCAGGCTCTGTGCTTTCAGCATCTGTCCACCTGAGAGCCATTTGCATGTCCAGGTGTCCTGTATGGAATAGGAAGGTGGAGCTACTGGCACTTGTTATCATGTAGGCCCCCTCTTCCACTCGACCCTTTTAAAACTAGGCTTTATCATAATCCTTGACTGATTTTTTTTGAATGACAGGAGAATTTGTCTCTTGTAATAAGGCTTCAGACTGGGTTCCAGACAGTGTCTGCAGCTTTTTTTTTTTTTTTCTTTCTGTATCTTATTTTCTAAGAAATCTTTCTGGTAAGCACCTTACCACCTAACCTGGGTGCCATCCACCAGCTCTTGGGCGGTGTTGAGCACTAGCTCCCATCAGCCCCTGCATGGTTGGGATGGGAGGAATAGTATACCTATAAAATGACTGTTGGCTCACTTTCTAATTCATGGAAGTCATTTTGATCCTCCTTTCTCTTATGTTGTCCATTCCGAAAAGCACATGCGTAATTGCATGTGCACTGTGTACAGAGAAACTCCTTACCCTTTGAAGGCTGAATAATTTTAATCTCCTTGAGAGCTGTCAGGGTCCCTAGTGGGTTCTGGGCACTTGGTCCCAATGTGCAGATCGGGTTAACTGTTAACACAGCTTTGCTATAGACAGGGGAAGATTTGCATGGCTGGGAGACTGGTTCTGTCCTTAGTGTACCGAGATGGGCAATGTTGTTCCCATTTTAGGAGCGAAGGGAACTGCGGCACAGGAAATGGACAGAGCCTTGGGCTCATGGATTCAGTTCCCGGCTCCACCACGAACTTGCTGTGTGACCCTGGGCAAGTCCTTTTCCCCTCTCTGCGCCTCAGTTTCCTCATCTGTAAAATGGGGAGAATTCTTTGTATGCCTCCCATTTGTTGGGAGTATAGATAATCTTTAAAATGTTGGGAAGTTCAGAAAGATGAGAGCTAATCATTTTTTAGCATTATTTACTTGAATTGTTTAGTCCTTCTATAGAAAGTATCCACAAGTACACTGTTTAAATACACCTCTTTATACGTGAAAAAGAGGGCGGTGTTGCTATGCAGAATATTGAGCACTGCAGAATTCCAGCTGTAATCCAGAAGTTCATTGTAGCTTTATTATTACAGGTGTACCCCACTTTATACAATAAGTGTTCCTGGAAAATGTTTACATCATACCATATTATAAAGGTACCTGACAAGTTTGATTCATTTAAAGGCATTCTTTTATTATAACAGTTAATGAAAATCCCTTTAAACTTGATTGTGTAGATACCTGGATTTTTTTTTTTTTTTACTGTATTTGTGTAAAGTGAGGCCGTTGTGACGTGAGATGCATTTTATAACATGTTCAAGTAACAGAGAGGCAGCCCTTCTGGTTGACCAGGATCCTCAGTTCTGCCAAGTTAGTTGTTTTTGTTTTTGTTTTTCCTCCATACTAAAATTATTCTGGATTTCCCAGCTATGTATGACTATATACATGGATATGTATGCAGAGAATTGTGAGTACACAGTTGGAAGACGCCTTTTAGGACCTTTTGCCCTCAGTGTTTTTTGAATTCTTGAAAGCCCTCACACTTGGATGATTAAAGGGAACCCTGAAACTCAACAGTGACTATATCATAGATGAAAAAAATTCCTTCAAAAACTTAAAATTACAAAGTCCAAAGGGATCTTATCTTCTAAGTCACAAAGAATCCTGACCTTCTTTGTTGTGCATTTGGACTTAAAAAGAAAGACCCCTGATTTTGGTGCATGTGTGTGTCAGCTACTTGCAGCCCAGTTGTTAGAGTGATGGGGTACTTTAGGTGCTGTTACTGTGGATAAGCCAACTTAGCTCTAAGTCTTTGTTCCCATCTGTGAGATCAGTGGGAAACTCAGACTGATCTACTGTATGAAAGTAGTTTTGAGGGGAAATCTCACATTTGAAATGTTTGCAGCATCTTAGAAAAAGCTGGGGTAATAATATAGAGTGCTCTCTGAATCCAGGCCACTGCACCCCATTCCTAATGTGTCTGATCCACATGGCGTCCGTCGAAGTTAGAGAGTAAGTGATGTGGTGCTAGCTTTCCCTCCACTGCCACAGCTGGCCAGAACCCGACAGTAAAGGACTGACTTGGCTTCCCAAGTTTCCAGAGTTTTTAAATGCAGGTTGAATACCCCCTGTCCAGAAGTGGTTGAGACTTTGGCTTTTTTCAAATCTCGGAATATTGCATGTATATAATGAAATATCTTGGGTATGGGACCTGAGTCTGAACATGAAATTTACGTTAAGCTGCATGTGGTGGCTGGCACACCCCAGCAATCTCAGTACCCAAGGGGATGAGGCAGGAGTATTTGGAGTTCAGTGCCAGCCTGGTCTGCATAACCTCTCAAGAATAAGAATAGAATGAGTTGCTGTGGAGCTGCTGTGAGACTCTATTGGGCTCAGAAAGGCATAGCTCCCTCCACTTCCCCTCTCTGGGTAGTGGCTCCAGCCTAGAAGGGCTCTCCCTAACACTTTGGACTTTTTAACTTTTTCTCTGAAGTTTCTTTAACCCATGTAACTGCTAGGCTGTCCTGGGGCTGCCTGCTTGCTGAACCTTATGCCTAACTTAAAAAGGCCCTGGTTTTCTTTTTCTCCATCTCCCTTATTCAGGCATTCGCCAAGATTACAACTTGCCTTCCTTGCACTTTTTCTTTTACACTTTAATAAACTTGTGTTCAAGCTTTAAGTGTGAGAAAGGAATTCATTTGTTTCAAATATAGCCAGCCTAAAGGTAATTTTACATGGTATTTTTAGTGAGCCTGTGTTTTGACTTCCATCTGTCCCGTTAAGTAATATGTAGAATTTTTCACTTATGGTGTGATGTTGGTCCTTAGAAAGTTGGAGCATTTTGGGTCTTAGACTTTTGGAATTAGGGAGGCACAGCCTGTACTTTAATTGTCACCAAAGGTCAGTGCCTTCATCTCGCAGATCGACAGTCATCCTCTGTATAAATACTTCTCGTGCCAAACCTATAGTGTGAGCATTGTCACATCATCATAGTGAATAGCTTGCTCTTTGACAAATTGCTTGTCATTGGAACTTTTGGTTTCCTTTTTGTAGAATTAGGAGAATACCTGCCAGGTTATTTTGAGTAGAAACAAGGGCGCTTAGAAGTACCTACCCCAGTCCCTGGCAATATCAAGCAGCAGTTATGGTCGTCATGATGACCCTCTGACCATCATTATTGTCATTATACCCTAGGATCTTTTGAGACTGGTTATTCTCTTGCCAGTCCTTTGTTTGAGACAGGGTCTCATGCAGCCCAGGCTGGCCTTGAACTCCTGATTGTCTTGCCTCCCACTTCTTGGGTACTAGGATTACAGGCATGTGTCAATCTGCCCGGTTTGCCAGCCTATTTTCAGTTTAGTTTTTCAGATTCTTCTCTAATTAAAGCTTTGTTGAAGATTTTTTTTCTTTCTGATTTCTTAACACAGGATTTCTCACTGTAACCCAAGCTGGAATACAAGCCCATCGCAGGCCTGCTTCAGACTCCCGAGTGCTAGAATTATGTTCTTTTTTATAATGAACTTTCAAGGGTGATGGGATTTGAATTAAAATATATGCTAGGCTGAGGATACAATTCCGTATAAGAGTACTTGCCTGGTATGAGGCAGGGCTTAGGTTCAAGCCCCAGCACTGTAAAACATTTCTTTTTGAACAATGAACATGGTCTACCTGGACTGAGAAACTCTCGTTATCAAAGGAACTTATTTTACATTAGTTCAGTGTCATACAAGTGGCATTATGTCTAGTTGCTAACTTCAGTCTTTGTAAAATACTTGTATCATTGGCACACCCATCAATATTCAAAGCTGTGAGCAATAATGTATTATTAATAAAGAACATTTAGCTTACCTTTGATGGTCCTGGCTGCTTGCTGGCCATTCTAGAGGCAAACATTAATGTCTTCATTTTAAAGATCAGAAGATTTGGGTTTAGGTTAACAGGAAACCTATAACTGAACTCTGTTGCACTAGACTCCAAGTGCCTAGACTCCCATTGACTGTTTACTTTGGACCATCCTGTTTCTCGTGCAGTGTTTGGATGTCTTAGTCAATAGCCAGTGGTAGTCAAGAGTTTTCTTCAGAGTTATAAAGTGAGTAGAGAGTGAAAATTGGTTTTCAAGTTACTAGGAGTTTAGTGAAAGCATTAATATAGAGACTACAGCAAATGATAATATTTTCTCAGAAGGAACTTGTTCTTTCTATTAAAACAGATTCTGAAATGAAAAGAACACAAGAATCATCCCGTACCCTTTGGTACCCAATTTACAAAGATAAGGTGGCGAGAAGAGTAGCTTATCCCTAGTGGCCTTGCTTCCAGAACACCGCCCTTTCTGCTGTAGTATGCCCTGGCAAGCTGGCTCTTGTCACATGTAAATAGCTTTTACTCAATAAAGTCAAAGAGCCTATGCCTTAATTTGCAGGAGACCTTCTTTTTGATATTGTTGGGTAGTGCCAGAGCAGGAAGGATCCACTGGTTCAGGTGACCAGTACAATTGTATTCAGGTGCTGTGGATGCCACCTGGAGTGCCAGCACTGGCGTCATTGTGTTAAGAAAAGGTTTAGTATAGCGGCATCATTGCTTTTCAGTCATTTGTTTTCTCGTTAAGACTTAAGGATTATAATCCACTTCTAACAGTTATCTTGGCTTGTTTCAAAATTTGTTTTTATTTGATTGACTTGAGGCTGGGAGCAGGGGCAAGTGATTAATGGAACATCAGCTACAGAGTAGAGACCAGAAATCAATTGGGAAAGCCCCTCCAGTTAATTCTGGCACTTTCCATCTCCTCTTTAGCAGTCACTACAAAAACTAGGGACCAAATTTCATCTGGAGATGAAAGCTCTCATCTAGTCAGTTCTCCTTCATTATTGCCTGCAGACTTGACTACTAAGAGACAAATAGATAACACAGGGAAGCTAGGAACAGGAGTGAACTTTACAAGTTTGAAAGCTTTCCTGGCCCAATAAAATCTTTTTATCAGTGGTTCTCAGCCAATAGGGCTCAAATGACCCTTTCACAGGGGTCACCTAAGACCATGGGAAAACAGATGTTTACATTATGAGTCATAACAGTAGCAAAGTTAAAGCTATGAAGTAGCAGCAAAATAATTTTATGGTTGGGGGTCACCATAACATGAACTGTGTTAAAGGGCTGCAGCATCTGGATGGCTGAGAACCACTGATCTGTGTTCATTAGCTCATAATACTTTCTGCCTTACCAGAGTTGAATGCTTATTCTGTACACTTAAGAGTATCTAGTCACTTACCAAGCATTTATTGAGTACTTCTGAATACAGGGCACTGTGTTAGGTTAGGCAGTAGAGGCTGGGCTTGGTGGTACATAGCTATAATCCCAGCATTTGGGAGATAAGAAAGAAGCGTATCATGAGTTCAAGGCCAGCCTGAGCTACATGAGACCCTTTCTTTAAATAGAAAAGAAAAAGCTCCTACAAACTTCACTGGTAGTTGGAACAGGAAATGGGGTTAGTTAGGTGGGCTTCTCATGTCAGGGTTGCGAGGCTCAGCAGCACCTCCTGATGGGAAGGCTCTAATGTTGCCCTTGCTTGGGCAGGTGCCGGATGTGCTCGCTGACCTTCTACTCAAAGTCGGAGATGCAGATCCACTCCAAGTCACACACCGAGACCAAGCCCCACAAGTGCCCGCACTGCTCCAAGACCTTCGCCAACAGCTCCTACCTGGCCCAGCACATCCGTATCCACTCAGGGGCCAAGCCCTATAGTTGTAACTTTTGTGAGAAATCCTTCCGCCAGCTCTCCCATCTGCAGCAGCACACCCGGTAAGGCTGCTCTTACCCCCAACCTAGCCACAAAACCCTCAAGGCCATGTGGCCTGTGCCAGCTGTTCTCTCCTTTGCCTTTTGAAATCTTACTCTGTTACTGTCTGAAAATTAAATCATGTATCCTAGAAGAATGGGGGGCCTTGAAAATTGTGATTTCCAGTCCCCAACTCTGGAACAATTTTTGTGGTTTCTCTCTGTGTCTGTTTGGAAATCTTCTACAGAGCAGACCCTGCTTTTACTATATGCTTCAGTTCAGAGCCATGGTGTGCATTCAACTTCAGGTCCATGGGGAACAGGCGGTATTGGCCTAAGTTCAAATTGCTATTTGGAAACAGGGTAACTGTGGTGAGTGTATAACCTTAGGAAAAGGCCGAGGGTTGACAAGACTGAATACTGTAAGGTTACCAAGAGCCATGGGTTGCAGCTCTTCATCATCTCACTGCCATTCTAGCCGACTTGCAGTCAGCAACAACCTAGACATGGCTATCCTCTTCATTAGCCTCTCCAGCTGGAGCTTTATTGGGAGGAGGGTGGAGGGGGTGCTCTCATCCGTCAAGCAACGTCATTTCACCCAGCAGAGAGCTGAGCCCGTGGTGTCGAACTGCTTCCTCCTCCCCCCCCCTTCCCTCCTCTCCTCTCCGGCAGGATCCACTCCAAGATGCACACGGAGACCATCAAGCCCCACAAGTGCCCGCACTGCTCCAAGACCTTCGCCAACACCTCCTACCTGGCTCAGCACCTCCGTATCCACTCGGGGGCCAAACCCTACAACTGTTCCTACTGCCAGAAGGCCTTCCGCCAGCTCTCCCACCTCCAGCAGCACACACGGTAAGGGAGGGGGCGGGCTACTGATCCCGCCCCGCTGGCATGCCCTCCCCACCCCCCCGCCCCGGACACACACAACCACCCGCATGCGGGGGGCGGGGGAGAGACCTGGCTGGAGGTGAGACCTGGCTGGAGGTGAGACCTGGCTGGAGGAGAGTATGACTGGCAACAGAGAGAAAAGAAGTGGATGCCAAGAGAATCTTTCTGGAGCACAAACTATTGAAAAGACACAGTGATTATGTGGTATTGCCTGATTGATTAAAGACAGAGACAGACTCGGAACAAAGAAGGCTCTTTCCTTCATTTTCCTCCCTGAAAATACCAAGCACACAGATTTCTTTGGTGCCAAAGCAGACAATTGATTTTCGAAGACCTGCTTGTAGTCCTCAGGGCACCAGTTACAAATGGGAGATACAATCAGATGTAAGCTGGCACCAGCCTGGATACACTCACCAAGAACAAGCAAGATTCCAAGGGATGCCAAGAGTAGAGCACAAAGGGAATTGAAGTTAACATTCACAAAGAACCGGAAACAAAACAACAAGCTACTACTACATGAGTATGAGCTGGCGTCTGTCAAAGTGGAATTACTAGGGAGGAGGGAGTCTGATAGCTTGAAGAGCTGATGGTTTCCTTTGCTGATGTCTCCAGATGAAGGGGAGTCCAGACTCCTGGCAGTCGGCTCTCTCACCCTGCTTCTTGTGGATGTGATGTTCTCACCTGAAAAGTGATGAGACACCGCCTTGAGGACTGTGCTGTCTTCATGCATTTGAGGCTTTGATCCCAGATGGTTCTGAAATCCCTAAAAAGGAGCAGCTGTTGGTGCATCCTCACGTCTTCGGCTCATCTTTGTAGCTAGAAGGCCCTATGGTGTTGGGGGAAGAGGTTAATAAATTGGTTCTAACCTCAGGATTTCTTGTCATTAAGGGCTTAGACTGGGGTAGTAAATCCCTAGGAATTCCTGCGTTTTCACTAAAGTCACTGCTACTTTCAACAATCATTGTAACTTGTTCTTTAATCACAGAACTATATCTGGATATGATGTTCAAGGTTGAGGGAGCAGTTTCTGCTTGTAGAGTGGAAACCAAGGAGGAAGTGTTATGTATTTCTCTTTTTTGTTATAATTGTATTTACTTTTGTTTCTGAACATTCACCAGGATGGTTGTTATAGGAGCAAATTGGTCTGTCAAATCATGATCTGCCTGTATCCTGGATGCTGAGCCTTCAGTCCCTCTTCTCCCAGCAGAATGAGGGTCTCCTTGGGCTGAGTGCTATAGGCAGTGACCAAAAATCAGGCACTACAAACCATTCCAGGTCAGGGAGGAGCTAAAGCTAGCACCTTGTGCGGATGCACCTGAGGAACTTCTTCAGGAGGCAGCCTGAGATCTGGTACAGAGCCCTGCCCTAAATGACCAGGCTAATGGCCATACTCTTCCTCTTATCGTTCTCTACAGAATCCACACCGGTGATAGGCCATACAAATGTGCACACCCGGGCTGTGAGAAGGCCTTCACACAACTCTCAAATCTGCAGGTAAGTGGTTTTCACATAGGACCTTGAGTCTGAGACTTGGAACTACCATTTAGCTATTACTGGTGATTATCAGAGGTTTTCAGAACGAAATTCTCTTCACTGAGGTGACGCAAGCCTGCTAGCCTTTAATCCCAGTTGTTTGGAAGACTGAGGCAGAGGATCCAAAGTTCAAGGCCTGCCTATGCTACAAAATGAGTTTGGGCCAGTCTGGGTGACTTAATGGTGACAGTGTCTCAAAATTTAAAAATAAGCAAGTGCTGAGGAGTTAGCTTAAACGGTAAAGTGCTTGCCACAAACACAAATGCTTGAAATTAATCTTTAGAACCCACTTACAAACAAAACCTAGCAGTACTGGTATGTGCTTGTTATTCTAGCACTGGAAAAGGGAAAAAGGCAGACCCCAGGCGCTCACTGTCCAGCCAGCCTAACTAACCAAATTAGCCAGCCCCAGACCAGTGAGAGACCATGTGTGAGAAAACAAGGTGGATGGCCCCTGAGGAATGACACCAAGGTTGTCGCTGGCCTCTGAGAGCATGTACACACCCAAAAATGAGGTTTTTTTTCCTTAAGGACTAGGGCCTGATAAGGTGGCTCAGTGGTGAAACATACTTGCCATACAAGCCTGAGTACTTGAGTTTGACCCTACAGCCAACATTGAAAGGAGAGAACTAACTCTAAAGGTTGTCCATTACCTTTTATCCATGTGACACACATAATATTATACATGTACACACAGTCAACACAATATGAAAATAAAGGGGAAAAGGCCGCTGATAGTGTTTGCCTACCACATGTCAGGCCTTGGGTTCAGTTCCGGGTACATACCACATTATAGAATAAACCAAAGACAAAAATGGTGGCATGTGCCTGGAACCAGCCTACTGTGGACTTCATAGTAAGACATTTTTCTAAACAAAAACTTAGCATCTAGAAAGATGGCTCAGGAAAAGAAAGAGAAAGAAAGAAGTCTCAGCAGTTGAGAGCATTTGCTGTTTTTGCAGAAGTCTTGGGTTTGTGTCCAGTACACGGGTAGCTTACGACTACCTGCCTATAACTCCAACTCCAGGGAATCCAGTGCTCTTCTGGCCTCCACAGGCACTTGCACAGATATGTGTATAAAAATAAAATATGTCATAGCCTAGCTACATGAAACTATCTCAAAAAAATAAAAGAAAAAAGTAATCATATAAGCCAATTCCGTTAGCATCAATAGAACATAAATATTCCCATATCTCACTAAAGGAACTTAATGAGAGAATATTACTTCACATTTTGCAAGGTTTTATTTGTTTTGTTTTTCATAGCCTATTCTAGGCAAATACTCTACCACTGAGCTACATAAGCAGCTCTTGTGGTTTTGTTTTACTTAAAATGGTATGCTGTGTAACTCAGGCTGGCCTTGATTCTTCCATCTTAACTGCTTAGCCTTCTAAGTGCTGGGATTGAGGCATGTGCTGCTGCACTCAGAATTTTTGCAAGATTTTTCAGTCTGGTTTTGCTGAACGTGAACATATTCTCTCATGGGCTGTAGTCAGTCTATAATCTGAGGGAGCAGGAGTGCAGAGGCCAACACTTGGCTTATTTTTTGTGTGTAGATGTGTAGTGGCTATTGATTCATGAGTGTGGGCATACTTGGATGCCTGCTGCTTTAGTTCTCCACCTTATTTCTGAGATTTGATTTTTTTTTTTTTTTTTTTTTTACTGCATTTCTAGGGTACCATTTTTGTCTAGACCAGTAAGCCTTAGTGATCCTCCAGCTTCCACCTCTGCCTACCAAGCACTGGGCTCGAGCACACCACCTTAGCGGGCTATTCTGTGGATGCTGAGGGTCTGAACACAGGCTCCTAATGCACAGCAGGCACTCTCCTCATCCCTTGTCTCATGAGTTTTGAGAGTTTTGATTCTGTGAGCCCTCGGAAGGGCCAGGTAGTCCCCCTACCTCACTTTAAGAATCACTGAAAGAGGGAGACCGGGGAGCTGATCATTGTAACTTTCAGGACCCTGGCTTTATGCCATGTGAGATACATTTCTTCAGTTAGCCACTAGTTCTGAAGTTTCATTCAAAGCAGTCTGCACTGCCTTCTTGTAGAAAACTCATCTTGGGGCTGTCTCTCCATAAATGCCAAGGAAGAAACAGTACTCATTGGTGTAGGATAGTTGATCCCATGGTGAACCCCACAATTGTGAACTGGAAACACCTGTTTCTTAATGTGGTGTGGCTCAGCCCTAGCAAATACCTTTAAACCAAAAGCTTGTAAACAGGATAAAATAAAGTTAACCCTAGTTCAAGAGGTGGAGCAAGCAACCATTTGACACAAAGTGAACATGGGAAAAAACCGTAGACAGAGGAAGTCTGTAGGACGGATAGATGCAAGGAGGAGTTGAATGGCATTTAAGACAGCCTGGAGGAAGAGGAAGGGGGGTTTTCCTTCTGGGATATTGGCTGAGTAGAAAGGTCAACTGGGTGCTTTCTCTGCCTGTGAGCCAACAGCTTTCACCACTGTGTGTGGCTCCTGAGTCTTTATTAGGAAAATCAAATGATTGGGATTTTCTTTTTTTAACAACTTATTTGGGTTTTTGTTTGTTTGTAGTCTCACAGACGGCAGCACAACAAAGATAAACCTTTCAAGTGCCACAACTGTCACCGAGCATATACAGATGCGGCCTCACTAGAGGCTCACTTATCTACACACACAGTGAAACACGCCAAGGTGTATACTTGCACAATCTGTAGTCGGGCATATACATCGGTGAGTACTTGGTGTTTTCCATTTCTGCCCCCTTATCTACGACAACAGTCCTGTGTGTCCCTTTTTGATGGGGTTTAATGAATGGTTTGTCATGTGCTGTCCCCTGTTCTTACTTAGGAGAATTCAGAAACAAATAGTAATTCTTAAGCAGTCTCTTTATTCTAGACATACAAGGCAAGTTTTTGTGAGGGACAAATTTTCAGGTATTTTTTCTGAGATTCTAGAACAAGATTATAAATTAGCTTCACTCAGAGATCTTTGAGAAAAATAACTTTCCCTCTGCCAGCTCAGTGTCCACAGTGACTTCTAAAGGTCCCGTTCCTTTTTGCCCAACTCTAGAACATTTTAAATAAACACTAGAGAGTAAGTGCCCAAGGTGATAGTTGCAGGTCATCTTTTTCCCTTCCTTTCATCCTAACTTCTTTTTACCGTTTCCCCCAGGAAACATACCTTATGAAACATATGCGCAAACACAACCCTCCTGATCTTCAACAACAAGTGCAAGCGGCAGCAGCAGCGGCGGCAGTGGCCCAGGCCCAGGCTCAAGCACAGGCTCAAGCTCAAGCGCAGGCCCAGGCCCAGGCTCAAGCCCAGGCTCAGGCCCAGGCTTCCCAGGCATCACAGCAGCAGCAGCAGCAGCCACCACCACAACCACCACACTTCCAGTCCCCTGGGGCAGCTCCCCAGGGTGGGGGTGGTGGGGACAGCAACCCGAACCCTCCACCCCAGTGTTCCTTTGACCTTACCCCTTATAAGACGGCAGAACATCATAAAGACATCTGCCTCACTGTCACCACCAGCACCATCCAGGTGGAGCACCTGGCCAGCTCTTAGAGATCCGTACTGCCATCCACTGGAAAGAGAGAGAAGTTCTGGTCCCTCCTTTGTCAACTCCTCATGGTGGGAAAGTTCTCTTCTTCCTTGACAAGTCCTGTCTCCAGCTCCTTGGGTCTCAGGCATGGCTTTCCTTCAAAAGATAACCATCCTTAATCTCAGCTGCTCCTGATTGGCAAAGGAATCCTGAGCTGATAGTGTTATTCAACAGCCCCCATCCAAGAAGAGCTTTATAACTGGGGCTTGGTGCTTGAGAGAAGGATCTGCTGTGACCTCACATCTTGTCCAGTGTGGGCGCTTACCTATCTCTCTACTCATCTTCAAAGTTGGGGCTGATAGAAGACTAGTGGCTGGCCCTCCCAGATAACAGAAAAGGAAGCTCTAAATGCAGCCAGCCTTCTGTTCTATGCTTACCTGTAAAAGAACAGGTTTTGCACGTGGCCTGACCCCTGTGAGCCATTTCTTCCCCTTACATGGTCTCACTATTCATATTGGGTGGTAACCCTACCTTTTTATTTGTAAGAGGGCAGTCGCTGACACGTGTTCGCCAAGGTGCCAGAGATTTCCCCAGGTGACCAATGGCCTAAGAATGAGTTAAAGAGTTTTCCTTGCAGCCTCCTTCCTTCTCTGCCAACCAAGGGCCTATACTCTGAGTCTTACCACCCCAGTCCAAGGAGCTATGGGAGCTGTGTTAGCTGTGTTCTCTGCAAAACCCCAGACAGGGTATTGCAGAGAAGGGAGAATTCAGGGCGCACACAAGGACTGGACTTAGCTTCCTAGGTGCCACGGTCAGATGCCGGACATGGATTTATATATAAATATATATATATATAAATATATATATATATACCTGCTCATCACGGCCATCTTTGTTGTAACCATTTCTGTGTTTATAAATGCATTATCTCTGAGAATTTTCATATTGATGTTTTATTTTTGTCTTTTTTTTCCATCTTGTCCTCTGGCCATGGCATTTTAATTTTCTTTTGCCTTTTAATTTTTTAAATCATGGCAGATTTCAGAGAAAAGAAAATTAAAATAATCAGGAATTATACACAGTTGTTATAAAGCAATTTAAAAATGAAAAAAATCCTATGTACAAACTGAGGGATGTTTTTAGAACATTGTATAGAAATAAATTCATGTTTAAGGATGAGAGGCAGTGAGCTACTGGTGTAAGCTAGCATGGGAAAAGGCTATTTGGGGAGATATTCTAGGATAGCATTAAGACTTAAACTGGAATGTATGAAGAATGAATGCTTGTGTGGTAAGTCTCCATGTGTATGATTTCTCAGCCATTTTCAGTGTAGGAACATTGGTGCACAAATTCTGTCATGGGGGTTGCATTGCCTACATGTGAGGCAAGGTTTCACTTAACAAAACAACTATATCCCTTACCCTTTACCCTCCACAACATTAAAGAAGGAAAGCTGAGGAACAGTGGTGCACACCTTTCCCCCAGCACTTGTGAGGGGCCGAGACAGCCAGGACTCCACAGAAACCCTGTAGGGCCACGGGAAAGATCTCTTGGAAGGGCCTGCACTACCTGTGCCTCCCGTTTGTTTTGTCCAAACTTTACTGGGTGTTGTGTATATACACGTTTCATTAGACTGCAGTGCCTAAGACCAGAGGTTGCCAGTGATGGGAACTATAACCAGCTACTAGGTTTAGGACTGAAGAAAATATAAAATGCAGTGAGTTTCCAATTATATGATGGGTATCATGTTCACCTAACAATGGAAGACAGTTGTACTGGACAGAGCATGATCAAGAAACCTCTTAAGTCTTCTCACATCTACCATCAAAAGACTCGGCTAACTTCCCAAGACTGCTTCATGAAGAATCAATCCTTAATACAGTACTGGAAAAATTGACAAGAGTGAGTTCTCACATCTGAGAACTGATCAACAGTAAGTTCCGTTTAATTTGGGACTAGGCATCCAGACAGTACCTCAGAATGCCACTGTTGGTTAGCTTCCTGATGCCTTTCTCTCCTCTCACTGACTACCCAGTCTCTGGCAACCCTGTTTTTATCACAGATACTGGAATCGGCATCTTTGCAGATGAATGTCCATTCCCACCCCAACCCAATGATAATGTCTCCTACCACTATTCTCACTGTATAGAAAAAGGTGTGGGCAGGGATTAAATATCCAACAGCGTGCTCTTGTATTAGAGTGGAGGCCACACGCCATGCTCTAGCAGCTGCTTAGTATACATTTGGGCTTCTGTCATGCCCTTTACGTATTTGGTCGAAGGTGAGCTACAGTTTTATCTTGAAAGTCTGTGGTGTAATTACTATGAAAGGTGTATGAACTTGAGGTGATGTGCAAGAATCTACCACCGCTATTAATTTACAGGGTTTGAGCGCTGTTTCCCTAGGAGACAGGAACCTGCCAGGCTCTTGCTTTTGTGCAATGGGTGATACCTTTGACTAAAGTGAAGGCTGATGTCTATTAAAAACTTTTGATGACCCAGTCCTTTCAGATCATGTTAGCATCGTAAGTTCAAATACAAAGGAAAAAAACATAAGATCTCCCGTGGCGCACGCCTTTAATCTCGGCACTTGAGAGGCAGAGGCCTGTGGGTCTCTGAGATCAAGGACAGCCATGGCTGCACAAAGAAACCTAGTGTTTTAGTGAGTGAATTGAGGTGTAAAGGGTTAAATTTTGCAAGGCTGACAACTTCCGAAGATCTGCCTCGGAGACTATTTTGCTTCAGCTGGAACTCCTTTGATGACCAAAATCATAATAAGTAAAGCGAAACGCCGGTATTTACAGAATATAATTCTAAAGAGTACTGTTTCTTCCCCAATTTACCAAACATTCCTGCTTTGGAGAGGAGGGGGAAAAAGTTTGCTAGAGAATGCAAAATGGCGACCTCGTGTGATGTCATACCTGTCTCAGTAAGATACTGGAAGGGCGGAAGCAGGCTGAAGCAACCTCGCTGTGGGCGATCGCGAGTAGCCATTCAAAAACGTTCAATGTCGGGCGGACGTATCTGAGGGCGATATTTTAGTAAGGGCGGAAGTCCTTTCAGGTACAGAAAGGCTCCGATCCAAGAGTGGTTCTAGCGCCGGTCTTGTTTCAGTCACTTCCGGGGCGGATCGGAAGTTGCTTTGTTTTGCTTCAAGATGGCTGCTGGGATGTATTTGGAACATTATCTGGACAGTAAGTGCCGACTGGAGAAAGGAGTCATGGGTCATAGAGTGGTGTGGAGGGTCCGGGTTGGCAGAATTTATGGCCCCGAGGTCTTAGTGGCCTGAAGCTCACAGTCGGGAAAGGGATCCGTGGGAAGATTTACTCGAGGGTGAAGGAGGAGGGGGCGGGGCAGTGGGCATAGAGGCCTCGCTCATGGTGTAAAAGGAGGGAAGGGCTGCTCTGTGGGATCAGGGCTGTGTTTTGAAGGGTTAAGAATGGCAGTGAAAGTATTTGCTGACTCTCTATTTTTCTCTCTTATGTTGTGCAGGGTCGTTATCGCTCACTGCCATTAGTAGCAGCTGCAAATATTTGATCTGGTTCCTTTAGTATTTATGTGTCAAAAGTGGCTTCTCATAAAGCTGTGTGGTGGATGAAATGGAGCGATTGCTTGAGTTGATAAAGCTTTCCTTCATAAGCAAAAGCCATTTCTCATAAAATGAAGTGTGTGTTGAGAGACTGGAAAGTGGAAAATAGGCTGAAGGTGGATTAGACAATCTTTTATGCCAAACTAAGATGTCTGCATCTTAAAATAGAGTGTTGACTTTAATAAAGGAAAGTGACTGATCAGATAAGGGTAGCAGTCCAAGTCAGAAATGCAGATCTGGTCTTAGAGAATGACAGAAATTTTTAGATATTAAACATGGCAAGACTGATTGAATGATTTCGTGATTGAGAAAGAAGGAAAATCCAAGGAGAATTCTGCTTGGAAAATAAGATAAACTATACCATCAGCAGTGTAGAAGACTCAGGAGTGATGCCAAATATTAAAAAAGCAAAACTAAACAAAACTATGATGATCTCAAGAAAACAGCAGTCAAAGGGCAAGCCGTCAGTGTTGAACTTACCAGAAGGTCTATGGTTTATTAGGAAGTTAGTTACTTGAAAGAGATAATATTTGTCTCATACTTTTCTTTAGAGTAGGACGGAAAATGAGTCATTTGATATGGTATCTGCTGGTGACATAAAGTAATCCTAGTGAACTGGTAGTGGCAGAGTTGAGAAGTTCAAATAGCAGAATCACCTTTTTGTTTCGTTTTTTTCAGACAGTGTCTAATGTAGCCCACGTTGATCTCAAAGCCAACACACAGCTGAGGATGACCTTGAACTCCAGGACCTTTTTCCATCTACCCAGTGCTGGGATTATAAGCATGTGGCACCAAGCCTAGTTTAGTATAAACATTTTAAGTTTGAATTGGATTTATTGAAACACTTTAAAAATTTGGGTGGGTGTGGTGACATGTGCCTTTCATTCCAGCACTTGGGGAGATCTCTGTGAGTTTGAGACCAGCCTGGCCTATATAGTGAGAGCTAGGCCAGCCAGAGCTACATAATGAGACCCTGTCTTTAAAAAAAAAAAAAAAAAAAAAAGAGCAGGTGACAGTAGAGCAGTTGCCTAGCAGGGACAAGGCCCTGGGATTGAGGTTCAGTCAAAGGAATAAATATGAGGTTAAGCTGTCGAAAGAGATTTTGCCCTTATGGGGTGGCTTAATAATATATTTATCCAAGTATTTACTGGGTACTTTCTGTATACAAGGCAATTCTAAACATGGGGGAAATTTAAAATTGATACAGACGTGTGTCTGTTCTGGAAGGTTAGGGAAACAGAGCTGGGTTAACTATATTAATTATTTAGTTATGATTGGCTAAATACTAAAAATATTAACTAGACCACCTTGACAACCTGTTTATATAAATTTGTCAGAGTTTGGGAAAATTGGGTTCTACTCATTCTGAAGAATGAGTAGAAATCAGTGGGTAAGCAGATAAAAGTGTGGGCGGGATGAGGAAGACAGAACTCAGGGCAAGTGTGAGAGGCACTCTGAAGGCCAGCATGTGATGAGAGCAGAGAAAGCAGGCGGAAGGAGTGGCTCAGCAAGATAAGCAATGGCAGAAGAGCAGAATACACGCAGTTCGTTCCTGGAAGGTTACAGTGTGTATGACGGGTGCCGAAGGAACTGGGACAGTACCTTTAAGTTGAGAACAAAGAAGGTGGAGGCAGAAACTGAAAATAAGGAGAAGCTGGTTTCTAGACTAAGGTCCCCCAAAAGGAAAAGGATGCGATGGTTGCACAGAGAAAGAGACGTTAGCTGAAAAAGAGAGGGGAGTCTTCCCTTTTGAGAGAGGACAAATGAGTCCTGTCACAGATCCATCATTTCAGGGCTGGGGATGCAGCTCAATTGATAAGAGTATCTACCTAGCATGCAAGAGACCCTAGGTTTGATCCCCAAAACTGCATACACCTGGAATACTGACACAAGACTATTAGGTCTCAGCACTTGGGTGGTAGATGGAGAAGGATCAGAAATTCGTTGTTGGTCATTATTGGCTGCAAAGCAAGTTTGAGGCCAGCCTGGGCCTCGGATACCCAGTCACCAAAAGAAAAAAAGAAATCCAGTGTCAAACGAGGGAAAACTGAACTACGTACACTTCGTTCTTTAATGCTGAATTGGACTTTTTTAGAAAATGATTTCTAAAATAAGTTTTAATTGGGCATGTCTGTGTGTGATATGCATGCGTGCAGGTAGGCCCTCTTGCAACTCAGAAGCATTGGATACTACCCTCCCCTGCCCCCAGAGCTGGACTTCTCGGCACCTGTAAGCCACTCAACATGGGTGCTGGGAACCAAACTCTAGTCCTGGAAGATCAGCCACTGCTCCTGTCCACTGAACATCTCTCCAGGCCCTGCACTTTACTTCTGTCTATTTATCTGTGTCTTGTTTTGTTTTGCCTTTTAAAACAGTATCTTATGTAACTGAGCTGGTTTCAGATTCCCGGTGTGGCTGAGGCTGACTTGAGTTCCCTAGTTCCCCTGCCTCCCGCTGCTGTTTCCAGCTTGAGCTTCTTTTTAAAAGGAGCTCTGGGGCCAGGGATACAGAACACTGGTAGCACACTTGCCTCGCATACTCTAAAGCCCTGGATTCCATCCCCAGTATCACAGAAATAATAAGTAAAGAGAAGTGAATTAAAATAAAAGCTGTAGCCAGCTGAAGTTCAGTTGTAAAACACTTGCCAAGACTTCTGTATAGTCCGCTATTTCTCTCTCTTCCTAGGTATTGAAAACCTCCCATTTGAATTACAGAGAAACTTTCAGCTCATGAGGGATCTAGACCAAAGGACAGAGGGTACGTACAGAATAACAGACTCTTGTTTATCATCATTTGTTTTCCTACTTTCTGTTACCATGCCATCTGGCATAATGTGGAGGACTATGATTTACTTTTTGGGGGGTTTGGGGTGTATGTGTATGTGTTCTATCTATACGTATATCTGTGCAGCATGTGTGCCTGCTGCACAGAGAGATCAGAAGACAGTATCAGATCTCTTAGAACTGGAGTAAAGATGGTTGTGAGCTATCATGTGGGTGCTGGGATCCAAAATCAGGTCCTGTGCAAGAACAGCAAGTGCTCCTAACTACTGGGCCATCTCTCCAGTCTGACTCTCATGGAATTCTTAAATGATGATAATGGTCACCCTCATTTCTACCTTTCCACATCAAATGGAGTATTGAGATGATATCTTAAGAATCCAGAGGCGCGGCCGGGCTCAGTGGTGCATGCCTGTAATCCAAGCACTCGGGGAGGCAGAGGTAGGTGGATCTCATGAGTTCGAGGCCAGCCTGGTCTACAAAGTTAGTCCAGGACAGCCAAAGCTACCTAGAAAAACCCTGTCTTGAAAGAAAAAGACAAAAGAAAAAAGAATCCAGATGTGCTGGGCAGCTCAGTGGGTGAAGGTGTTTGCTGCTAAGCCTGATGACCTGAGTTTGATCTCCAGGACCTACACAGTAGAAGAAAAGAACCTCCTGGAAGTTGGTCCTCTGACCTCCACTGTATTTAACCTGTGCCGTTAAATACAGTCATCCACACCCATATAAATTATGCACAAAATAAATAAGTAATAGGGTCCAGACTTTGTACCTTCCTCCAGAATTCAGTATGCCAACCCTAGACATTACTACTGTTGTTACGTGTTTCCTCTGCATGATAACCACAAGTTATACCTCATTGCATTTTATGTTATCACAAAATACACAGGGCTTTAGACTAGTTCTTGTGGTTGTCAGGAACTTTGCTCTTCAAAAGAAAGGAGGGCAGGGCATGGTAGCATAGGCAGGTAGATCTTTCTGAGTTCGAGGCCAGCCTGGTCTAAATATTGAGTTCCAGGTCAACAAGTGAGACCCTGATGTGAAAAACAAACAAAAAATCCTGAGGTCATTCTCAGGTACATACCTAGTTTGCGGTCTGCAAGGCAAAACTAACCAATAATAAAGGCAAAAAAAAAAAAAAAAAAAAGAAAAGAAAAGGCATCAGTTAACATCAGGAACACCATACTGTATTCCTGAATTCACAGACGCATTATAGGTCGTCTCAGTCCTTGGACTTGGAGCTGAGTTGGCTACACTGAGGTATCTGCTTGGAGCTGAGTTGGCTACACTGAGGTATCTGCTTGGAGCCTAAGGAAGGCTATACTGCAATGCTCAGGTTGCTCTGCCCCAGATTTAAGGTTCGTATTGAAAGTGTTCCCCATACCTACTGAAGGATACGTGAGTCTTAAATTCCATCCTATGTAGCCATGTTCAAAGACATAACAGGCTAGGATATGTGAAGCCATGTCTTACGTTGCCTCTGGTTGAGCATCTACATGAAAGTGATTATCACCTGACACCCTGGACGTCTGCCTCTAACAACTGCCTGCCAGATGCTTAGACTCAGCTGGATTTCTTTGCAATGCTCTTCTAACTCTTGATCCCATGCACAGAGACCAGCTGGAGATTACAGAGTTTTATGCTTTTTCCACTTCTTCTAAAGGCCTGGGATACAGTGCAGAATGAGCATAACACATTCCCAGATGCTCCCCACTGCCTGTGTTACAGTCAGTCTTTACTCTTTCTACTGACTTTTATGAGCCCTACATGGGGCGTAGACATCTTCAAGTCAGTGTTCTGGGACATCGCCAGCCCTTTAGTATTAATGTGTTCTGAGCAGTAGCTACGATGAAGAGAAAAAAAAAAAAAAAAAAAGACAAGAATTGTAAGCAAGTTACAACTGATGAGCATAGTACCTGTAATCTCAACATTCAGGAGGCTGAGGCAGGAGGATTCACTTCTCTTTAAGGTCAGCCTGTAAGTTCTAAGACATTTTGAGCCACGGAGTGAGAGTTGGTACTCAAAAAAAAAAAAAAAAAGGCAAGAAAGAAAAAAAAGTAGGGTGGACAGTAAGGATGCAGAAGCAGCATTCCTTGAGGATTTAGGACCTAATGTTAAGATTTCAGACCCAGCACCTTGGCGGCTTAGGCAGAAGTACCATAAAATTCAAGGCCAACCTGGGCAGCACTCCATCTCAAACAAAGACAAGAGAACCCTGGAGGCTAGAACACCAGTGAGTGACACAGCCTGGTTTGCAGCACTCAGGACAGGGCTCTTTGGAGATGCTGTTAAGACAAGAAACAAAGTGGCCTCTGGAACCAAACTCATGAGGCAAGCATCAAGCAAGCCCTGCAAAGAATCATCTTGAAACGTCATCAGAAATGTACTTCATGTTAACATGTCATACAGAGAATCCCACAATGCCTTTGTGGTAGCCTCGTTTCCAACTCTGGCAGCCATGTTTTCTGCACCTTGACGGCACTTTAAGACATTCGCAGCAGGCACAGTGGCACATGCTTATAATCCCAGAGCTAGGGAATCTGAGACAGGAGGATATCCCAAGTTCAAGGCCAGCCTGAGCTACATTCTGACACTGTCTCAAAACAAACCCAAAGAGGCCCAAATCATTTCAGTATGTTGCATTTCTTGAATACAAGGCCCAGTACCTGTGAACATTCAGTACATTTCAGTTGGAAGGTTTTGATGGCCAATGGAAAAGGTCCAAGGAACAAGAGGAAGAAGTATCTAGCCACCAGGGGCCATTGTGACCCAGGCCTCTGTCTCTGTTGTAGACCTGAAGGCTGAAATTGACAAGTTGGCCACTGAATATATGAGTAGCGCCCGCAGCCTGAGCTCCGAGGAAAAATTGGCCCTTCTCAGACAGATCCAGGAGGCCTATGGCAAGTGCAAGGAATTTGGTGACGACAAGGTGCAGCTTGCCATGCAGACCTATGAGATGGTATGGCCCTGTTCGTGGCTTCCCACCCAACTCCCATCTAATCCTCAGGGTCTTAGACCCCCTTCTTCAACCGTGTTGGGATCTGTTTTGGGTCTGGGAGATCCATCAGTCTACCTTAGCTGTCTTCTCTCATCGGAACCAGCCTTGTACCTCTTCCCTTCTTCCTTCCCCCACAGGTGGACAAACACATTCGGCGGCTGGACACAGACCTGGCCCGTTTTGAGGCTGATCTGAAGGAAAAACAGATCGAGTCAAGTGACTATGACAGCTCTTCCAGCAAAGGCAAAAAGAGTGAGGAGGGGGTGGGGCTGTGAGAGCGGGCGAGGATGCAGAGGGAGAAGAAAGAGGCCAGCTCCAGCTATGAGGGTACAGCTCTGCCTGGACCAGGAACAAAGAGGACTTAACCCATCTTTTTGTCTGCCTTCTGGCTTACCCTTTCTTCCTAGAAGGCCGGACTCAAAAGGAGAAAAAAGCTGCCCGAGCCCGTTCCAAAGGGAAAAACTCAGATGAAGAGGCCCCCAAGGCTGCCCAGAAGAAGTTAAAACTTGTACGCACGTGAGTATACAAGAGGGCACCCACCTCCCAGCCAGTACTGCCTCTTGCTGCTTTCCCTGTCTTCTGTGCCAGTAATTCTCTCTGTCACTCCGTGTCTGCTGGATGGAGACGCCGCCACAGATCATTTGCCTCACCGTGATCTTCTGTCACCTCAGCTCAGGTCGTAGCTTCCTTCCTGCAGATGACATTTGTCTTCCTCTTGGCATGCAGAAGTCCTGAGTATGGGATGCCCTCAGTGACCTTTGGCAGTGTCCACCCCTCTGATGTGTTGGATATGCCTGTGGATCCCAACGAACCCACATATTGCCTTTGTCACCAGGTCTCCTATGGAGAGATGATTGGCTGTGACAACCCAGATGTGAGAACCGTTTGCCTCAGGGTTGGGGAGGAGCTCTGAGGGGCATGAGGGCATGAATAAGAGGAGGAGGTGATTCCGTTGAAGAGAGGGACTGCAAAACCGGATGGTGGTTGGACTGGGTTCCCCAGGACTTGAGGAAGCTTCTGAGGCTGGAGTAAAGGGACCCCTCTCAGGAGTGTGCAGGGGGTCCTGTTCCCTCCACCCTCCGCAGGTCCCTAACTACTGTGTTCCATCTTCCTTTTCCAGTGTTCCATCGAGTGGTTCCACTTTGCCTGTGTGGGGCTGACAACCAAGCCTCGAGGGAAATGGTAAGTGACAGAGCTGTGGCAGGAGCTGGATGGCTGTCCCAAAGCTGAGTGTGGAGAGGAGCGCACAGGCTTCACTTACGGTTTGCTTGCCCTGCTCTTCTGTGTCGGTGTTTAGGTTTTGCCCACGCTGCTCCCAAGAACGAAAGAAGAAATAGGTTTCCTTGGATTCCATCACAGATTTCTTCCGAGTCCCCCTGACCTGGGCTAGTGAACAGAGAGGAATATGCCTGTGCTGGGGACTGGGGGTCCAGGGAGGTGTCGGCAGTGCAGTACCGGCATCCCTTCTCCCTTTCCCCACTCCTGGTGCTGAGGCTGCATCCAAACCCCAGTAGGGAGGGTGCCACAGGCACCGACGGTATGTGCTCTCGTGCTCTCGCTCCTCTCTCCCTCAGAGGGAAGTAATCCCACTTGCTGTCCTTATGCCTCCATGGTGAGGCTGGTGCTGCATTTCCCCCTGCTTTGTATTCAAGGACTGGGGCGGTGGGGTGGGGCACTCTCCCAGTCCCCTCAGTCCTCCCTTCCCCCGTTGGGAGCTAGATAGGGCAAACTGTCTTCTCCATTCCCTTTCTTTTCTCCATGGTGAGGGGTCTTCTAGATCCTTTGGGCTCTGCCTACCTGAGTGCTTACCCATCCTCTGTGGCCCGGGGAGTTATCCTGACTTTGAATGGGAGAGGGGCAAAGTGAAACCCAGGTGACTCTGATGTAAAAGGAGCTGGGGTAGGGAAATAAAAGCTCTCCGTGCCAGCCTGCTGTGTTTATTGTAGAGACTGTTTCCGTACATGGGGTAAGCATTCTTTGTGCATCCTCTGAACTGGATGAGAGGCAGGAGGATGGCTTGCCAGAAGCAGGACAAGACCTGAAACTTGTCCTGTGGAGCCCACAACCTATCCCCTGGAGGGGTGCCTTGCAGCGGGGGACTCAGAACCTTGTAATTATGCATCTGCTCCCCGTGAAACACCTTTCACCTAATTCCAATAAATCATGTATTTGCTTTATATGTGTGCTGTAGTAGTGTTAGCTTCATTTCTTCTTTTAAAAACAAAAACCATATAAAACAGGAATTTTCACCCGGTGTGGTGGCTCACGCCTGTAATCCCAGCACTGGGGAAGCAGAGGCAGGACGAGGCTAGCCTGGCCTACAAGTGAGTCTAGGACAGCCAAGGCTACACAGAGAAACCCTGTCTCGAAAAAACAAAAAAACATATTTTTTTCCCATCCCACAGTGAATTGTGTTGGTCGTATTTCTCCTGGAAACGGTATCCCGTGGACCACTGAGCCATCTTTACACGTGTGTTTACCTTGGTCAACCCTGCGTTGTTGTTTTTGTCAACTTTGGCCCTGTTTCTTACCTAGAGTTGTCCTCCTTACTCCTCCTCCTCCCTGCACTTACTTCAGACATCCTTGCTTTCCACAGCGCTGCTTATACTCAATAGCTAGGTCTCCATGCAGATGGGTACATTGCTTCGCCGAGCCCTTGTTCTTTATGGGGTGAGAGTACGCACCTCTTGGGTCGCGGGTTAAGCGGCAGGAAGTAGTGCGCAGAGCTGGCGTTGTAGCTCTGTGGTAGGAGAAGCGACGTTCTCAGTTCGTTTCCCAGCGGCGCAAAAAGAAATTCAAAGAGAGTAGTACCGAGTCACAGAGAGCCTACCCTGTTGAAGAGGGACTGGCCGGGCTGCTGTAACCTGTGGCTTCTCACTTCGCTCCAAGGGCCCGCCTGCAACTGGTGCGGCTCCCTTGAGTTTACCTCGCGGGCTGGCCCCGCCCTCACCTTTTGTGACGTAGCAGCTACGCTCCTGCCTCCGCGTTAGCAGCCCGAGACCCACGCTCTCCGAGGCTTAGCCCGTTGGAGGTCGCTTTGGTGTGATCTTCCCGGGCCACGATGAAACTAGCTGCTAGCTTCCTTCTGCTGCTTCTGGAAGGTGAGAGGCTAGACTTGCCCCTTTGGAGGCTGCCCTGGTCTGAAAACGCGGGTGGATCTTCCCTGAGGCCTCCTCACGTTCCCAAAGGGCTTGAGGCCCCTGCCTCCTGAGAGCTCTTTTTTTAGTGGGTTCTGAGACACCTTGTCTCGGGTGGTCGAGTTGGCTTGGGAGAGGTTGGAATTTCTTTTGTCTTGTCCCTAGAAGCCTCCCACTCCAGTCATCAGGCATCACCCCAAGTCACCCCCTCCACCCCCCACACACACCAGTTCTTGGTTCATAGCGGGCTCTGCTTCCAATCTGGGTCTGAGCATTGGCTCCGGGAGTGCGTGTGCTTAAGGCCCATTCTGGTCTGCCTCCCTGCCCTGCAGTGCGGCTCCTGCCTATAACATCTGGTCCAGAGGATTCAGCGACCAACTCGACTCCAGGCAGCCCCCTCTCAGCCACTGAATATGAACGCTTCTTCGCCCTGCTGACCCCAACCTGGAAAGCAGAGACCACTTGCCGCCTTCGTGCAACCCACGGCTGCCGGAACCCCACCCTTGTCCAGCTGGACCAGTATGAAAACCACGGATTGGTACCAGATGGTGAGGACCAGCCCGTTGGGCAAACATAGACATCCAGAGGTCACCTTGGCTCAGGGCAAAAGCTTGGTGCTCATATGGGAGTCACGGGAAGGAGCTAGCTGGCAGCTCACCCCAGAACCCGTCCTCACTTTTTAAGACCTTGACCCAGCCCTGGCTTTCCTGTAACCCCAACCCCCACCCCATCACCTCCATGGGTGCTGTCCTTCCTCAGGTGCTGTCTGCTCTGACCTCCCATACGCTTCCTGGTTTGAGTCCTTCTGCCAGTTTTCTCAATATCGTTGCTCCAACCACCTCTACTATGCCAAGGTGAGAAAGGTTGGCTCTGGTGATCCAGGGCCAAGGTTGAGATGGCGGGATATTGAGGAAGGTCATCACTTAGTCCATGCTCCCTGTCAGTTTGACCAGGTGAGCACAGGCTCACCTTGGGTATTCTGGCTCAACAACCCTCGTAACTGTGAGTGAAGGAGAGAAGAGCTATGGAAAACGGCAGAAGCTGTTGTGCCCTTCCATTGCTTCAAAGGGGTCTGTGCTTTTAATTCAATTCAGCTGGAGAAGGTTGAAGGCAAGCCTGTCACCTAAATAAACATCCTGTGTTCCTTCATGCCTGCCCAGGAGCTGTGAGAGCTCTGACTTGCCTGGAAGGGGAGTGAGGAACTTGCTGGGTAGGAGTGGCTGCCTTTTGGCAAAAACATTCCCGTTTCCCTTCTTCCTTGCAGAGGGTCCGGTGTTCCCAGCCAGTCTCCATCCTATCCCCCAACACTCTCAAGGAGGCGGACACCCCAGCAGAAGTCCCTCCCACTTCCATGACCACCCTGATGATATCCCGTGCCACAGGTGAGACCTCCCAGTGTGGGGACCACAGTTCCCAGCCCTCACAGGGCAACTCACAACAGCCCTTAACACCGTCCTGGGAGATCCGGCGCCCTCTTCCGGCCTCCACAGACATTGCAGGAATGGTGCACCCACATATATTCAGGCAGAACACCTGTACACAGAAAATGAAAATAAAAATAAAAGCCCTCTGGGCCCTTTGTAAATTAGTATCTTCATTTTAGAGAGCATCTGAACTGAGAGTAAAGCTCAGTGGTAAAACACATACTTAGCATGCATGAGGTGCTGGGTTTGGTTCCTAGGGTCCCCCACATTCAAAGCGAAGGAATTAGTTGATGGTTCCTTAGAGTATGGTGTTCTGTAGGTGCGATGGATCAAAGCTAACACTTGCTTTAGGAGTTAGAGAACAAGTACACTTGTAAGACAAGAGGGAAGGTGACACGCTTGTTTGATAATGTCCTTTCAGTTTTTTATATTAGTTTATTGGTTGGTGGTACATAATGTGTGTACATACCTAGGAAGTCCTAGCGGGTCTGGAAATCACTACTTGAACTCACAAAGATCTGCCTCTCTCTCCAGAATTCTGGGATTAAAGGCATGTACCCCTATATCCAGCTTTGACCACCTTATTTTTTGAGATCGACTCTTTCAAGAAACTTGGAGCTGGGGCTGGAGAGATGGCTCAGCAGTTAAGAGCAGTGGCTGCTCTTCCAGAGGACCCTAGTTTAATTCCCAACACCTACATGGCAACTCACAGCTGTCTGTAATTCCAGTTCCAAGAAATCCAACACACTCACAACAAATATACATGCAGGTAAAATACCAATGCACATAAAAGAAATAATGATAAACAAATCATTTTTAAAAAGATAGACACATTAAAAGATAAAAGAAAGAAAAAAGAAACTTGGAGCTACTGAGCATGGTGCACATGCTGTTAGCCCTAGCACATGGGAAGCAGCAGGAACTCTGAATTCCAGACTAACCAAGACTACATATAGAGACCTTATCCCCCCCCCACACAAAAAAATAATAATAATAGAAAGCAAGCAAGCTGGAGCTCACTGGCTTAGCCAGTAAGTCCTCAGCATCATCTCTCTCTACCTTCTCCACACTGAGATTATAAGCACATGTTGCCATTTCCAACCTTTAAAAAGTCAGTTTTAAGGGCTGAACTCAGGTCTCTACTCTTGCAAGCACTTTACCAACTGAGCTGTCTCTCCAGCCCCAATTTCTTGATTTAAAAAAAAAAAAGACAAAAACCCTTCTGTCAATATTGCTTTGAGGTAGGATCTCATGCAGTTCCAGCCTCAAACTCAGCATGTAGCTGAACAGGCTGGACTGATCCAGATTCTCCTGCGTCCACCCCCAGCTGCTGTGGGTCACAGCTGCCTAAGTAAACATGGTTTTTCTGGGAGGAAAAGAAATTTGATCCTTTCTTTCCCTTCTCTCCCCTGGTCCTTCCTAACCCTTGCTGCAGCCACAGAACGCCAGGCCTTCCAGCCTTGGCCTGAGCGGCTCAACAACAATGTGGAGGAGCTGCTCCAGTCCTCCTTGTCTCTGGGAGGCAAGGAGCAGGACAGTAGTCAAAAGCAAGAGCCGGGACGGCGCAAGCAGGATCAGGGAGAAGAGCGCAAGAAAGATGAAGGGCAGGAGCGAGACGAGGAGGAAGAGGAGGAAGAGGAAGAGGAATCAAAGGAGGAGGGGCAGGGGACAGAGGAGGGTCTGGAGTCCATGTCCAGCCTGCAGTCAGGCCTAGAACCCAAGTTTCAATCTGAGGTCCTGTCTTCCAACCCTTCCTCCTTTACTCCCCGGGTCCGAGAAGTGGACTCTGCCCCATTGATGATGGAGAACATCCAGGAGCTCATTCGCTCAGCCCAAGAAATGGATGAAATGAACAAACTGTACGATGACTCCTCGGGAAGCCAAAGCACTGGCAGGTACAGGAAATTGTGACTTCCTCATGGGCCCTGCCGTCCCGGCTGCCTTCCTTGGAAATGCGAAGCCCACTTACCAGCTCTGGTCTCCAGACCCTCTCAGACCTGCTCTAGGCTTCAGGCACAGCTAGCAATGGCGGGCCCCTCCTGTTCTGTGCCCATCCTTGTTTTAAGCCCCACCCTGGGTTCTGGTCTTATCTCTGGTCTTGATTAGCACTAAAGCCTTCAGAAAGTTATTTCTGTTGTTGTTGTTGTTCTTCAACATTTAGTTTATTTTTACTTGGGTGTATGTGTGTTTGTGTGTCTGTGTGTGTTTGTGTATGTGTACATGTGTGCAGGTGTCTCAGTAGGCCAGAAGAGGGCGTCGTATCCCCTGGGACTACATTAAATGGGTGGTTCTGAGCTGCATGAGTAGGTGCTGGGGACCAAACTTGGGTCTTCTGGAAGAGCAACAAGTGCTCTTAACCACTGAGCTATCTCTCCAGCCACTTTCTCTCCATTTTGGACTTCAGTTCCTCGCTTGTAAAAGTAGGCAGTTGGTCCAAGGTCCTCTCAGGTTCCAGGATGGAAGTCCTCTTCATAGCATGCTGAATGCATATGACCAAGACCAAAGTTACTGAGCGGAGGGGAAGAGTAGATGTGGTTTCCACCCCAGCCCTCTAGCCCATCCCCACCAGCCTGTACTGTCTTCTTGCAGCCTCCTGCAGCTGCCCCACACGGAGACCTTGATGGTGCTATGCTATTCCATTATGGAGAATACCTGCACCATGACTCCCACAGCCAAGGCCTGGAGCTACATGGAGGAGGAGATCCTTGGCTTCGGGGATTCGGTATGTCCATCATGCTATTTAATGGATACATGCCACTGGACATCCCATGGGCCTGGAACTGTGTGAGCCATGGGTGAGGGGGCTGGGCAAAGAAAGCTTGAGACTCAGTTGAAGAGATTCCTTGGAAGGATATCTCCAGCCTACTGTACAGGAAGGCCGGAGACCTAGTCTGGAAGCCAGTCCAGTCTGGAATGCGTCCTTCAGCTCTTCAAATTGTTAGGCTGTGAGCCATCCCTTGAATCCCATTCAACACCTTCAGTACCTAGCTGTGCCTTAGACTCAGCCCCTTTTCTTTCCAGAAGGTTCATAGAACCCATTCCTGTTGAGCCTGGTGGTGCGGGCTATAGTCCCAGCTCCTTAGGAGGTTGAAGCAAAGGAGTCACATATTCACTCTGGAATGGGCAGCAGAATGAGTTCAACTTAGTGAGACCCAGTCTCAAGATAACAAACAAAACAAAGATATAAAAAAAAAAGTAAACAGAGGGTTGAGGATGACGCTCAGTGGTAGAACACTTGCCTAGCATCCAGAAGACCCTAGGTTCAATCCCCAGTACCAAAAACCAATATATGACAGAAACCATTTAGGATTTTCTAGAAAAGCAGAACTGATAAAATGAATATATATCAAAGGCACGTTTATTAGATTTACTTAAATGACAGTCTACATAGTCCAGCAATGGCTGTCTCACGCTGGAGAGGTTGAAAAATCTGGTAGTTGCTTGATTGTGAGGCTGGATGTCCCAACCAGTCCCAATCTGGCACTGAAGGACCAAGGATTCCTGGAGAGCTGCTGGTCTTCAGTCTACACTGGAAGCCCGAAGAAGCTGGTTCCAATACCAGTAACGGAGTGTGCATCAGCATGATAGACGGAGTTGCCAACAAGAGTGAAGGAAAGCAGGCAAAAAGCAAAGCTTTCTCCTTCCATCTCCCTTTTCTCTGGGCTGCTGCTGGAGGACGCTGCCCACATAGGATCAATCTCCCCTTCAAATACTCGGGTCAAAAAACTCTCACAGGAGTTCCCAGTGGCTTGGTTTTAGTTGCTTTCCAATCCAGCCAAGCTGACAACCAAGATTAACCATCGGAAATTCAATCCTTGTCAGTTGACACCCAATCATATCGCTTTACGGTATGCCTAATTCCCACATGAAAACAATGACAAGATTATAATTGTGCCTCGATGTGATACAACTACCCCATATATCACTTAAACACATGTAAGAATAGGTGGCAGAATCCCTTGAGGAATGCTTAGTCCTCATAATTTACGTATTACAATTTACATGTTCTAATACATATTTACAATACCTAAACACCTAAACATCTCAGTGGATGTTACATTACATGGTAAAGAAAATAGGGGAAAGAAAACACAAATACCTGCTTAGTACGTGTGTGTCTATGCACAACCATGCTCTTAACAAGAAAAGGACAGAAACACTCCTGTCGGTTACAATCCTCATTTCTGTGACTGGTCGTATGGCCTTAGCTGGTATTTACAACTACCTCCTCCTATGGCTCCTTCTGTATTTCCTCCCTTCAGGAAGCACCTCGGAAGGCCTTGGTTCATTCCTTGGAGGGGTAATCCATTACTTTATCCCGGAAGGGTCTGGACTCTTAGTCATCCTGCCTGGCTTGAGTTGTAGTTGCCCACTGACCTTAATCACATGGCATGGTAAGCCCAAGAGAGGCCCTAAAGCAGTGGTTCTCAACCTGTGGGTCATGACCCCTCTGGGAGTTGCGTATTCTATCCTGCATGTCAGGTTTTACGTTATGATGCATAACAGTAGCCAAATTACAGTTATGGAGTAGCAATGCCCCTAACCCTAACCTCTGTGGTTGGGGGGCACCACCACATGAGGAGCTGTGTTAAAGGGTCGCAGCATTAGGGAGGCTGCAAGCCACTGCCCTCAAGGGTCTCCTGCACTCGAGGCATGATCTTGTCTCCACTGTGAAGGAGGACTCCAGTTTCCCATTGGAATGTTTATTGTGATTCCCGACAGGAGTGCTCCCTAAGACCAAAAGTAACCAAAAGTTCTAGGCTAGCAGAGCATTAAATCCCAAGAAACGGGAAGAAGAACAGCGTTCCTAGTGGGTCACTGGAGGTGACAGTAAGTGGTTCCATCCTCTTTCCCGCTCCTTGATTCCTGGACCATGAATCCTGGCTATAGACGGAATGATGCTATCTATTGGAAGTTGACTCAGAGCGTATACAGTCTTCTGAAAAATACTACCCCAGCCCTCTAGGCGGCTCCCATCTAATTGGTACTGCAACTGTCTTTAAAAAGCCAAATCCAGGGCTTGGAATGATGGCTCGGAACTTAGTACTGGTTGCCCTTCCAAAGGACCCATGTTTAATTCTAAACACCTATATGGTGGTGGTTCACAACCGTCTGTAACTCTGGTTCCAGGGGAATCTGACACCCTCCTCTGGCCTCCAAGAGTACCAGGCACACAAGTGGTGAACACGTATGAACATAGAGCATCCATACACATGAAACAAAACTTAAAAAGTAAAAAAGTTCATTCCACCATTCTATCAAGCCAGCTGCTTCAGGATGGTGGGAAACATGGTAAGTTTCCGGTGAATTCCATGAGGGTAGCCCATTGGCCACTTACCTGGCTGAGAAGAGAGTTCCTTGGTTAGAAGCTGTGTGGAATACCACAATGGCGGATGAGGCATTCTGTAAGTCTGTGATCATTTCACCAGAAGCATTATGTGCAAGAAAGGAAAATCCATAAGTCATTCAAGTAAGGAAAACACGCTGTACTTTACACAATGCCACCTGCCCTGAGGTCGGGCAGCCGTCACTGTGGGGGACTGGTGCCGTAATCTATACCAGGATTCTCTAGATGAGCAGAATCACGAGTGGCCGTATGAAAGGGGGATTTATTAGACTGGGTAACGAGATCCAGTCCGGGTAGTCCAGCAATGGTTGTCTCACACTAGAGCAGCCAAGAGTCTGGTAGCTGTTCAGCCTGTGGCTGGGTGTCTGAGCAGTCCCAGTCAGGCACTGAAGCATGGAGGGTTTCTGGAGAGCAGCTGGGCTTCAGTCTGTGAAGTAGGTTCTAATATCAGTAAAGGAATCAGAACAGACGGACTTGCCAGCGAGAGTGAAGGCAAGCAGGCAAGAAGCAAAGCTTCCGTCTTCCATCTCCCTTTTATCTGGGCTGCCATCCTACATTTAGAGTGGGTCTTCCCACTTCAGATAACCTTGTCAAGGAAATCCCTCACAGGAATGCCCAGTGGCTGGCCATTTTGTTGATTCTAGATCTACTCAAGTTGACAATCAAGACGCAGCATTTCAGGGTATCTGTAAGAAAGATTCCAGTTCCAGCATTTCATCCACACTTGACTTTTTTGTTTGTTTTTCAAGACAGGGTTCCTTTGGGTAGCCCCGGTTGTCCTAGAACTCACTCTGTAGACCAAGCTGGCCTCAAACACACAGAGACCCCCACATACGCTACCACCTCCCGGTGAAAGATCTGATACAGGCTGATTTGGGAGCTTCCGGGCAGAAGTGATCCTCTCTCAGTATTGGTGGCAGTTACTAATTGAGTGTACCGGAGCACACCGCCACACCAGTTCATTGGTTTTGAAATGGCACAATTTAGCAAACAACCACTGAGCGCCAATCTGCCATGTATTCGTCTGTTTCTTTCTTTCTTTCTTTTTTCTTTTTTTTTTTTTTTTGTTTTGGTTTTTTGAGACAGGGTTTCTTTGTGTAGTCCTGGCTGTCCTAGACTCACTTTGTAGACCAGGCAGGCCTCGAACTCACAGAGATCCTCCAGCCTCTGCCTCTCAAAGTGCTGGGATTACAGGTGTGTGCCCCGCTCTCGTCTGTTTCTTTAGCAAACACTGAGTGGACACCAACTGCCTGGTAGACATTTGTGATGCTTAATAATGCTTGCTCTCTTGGAAACTAGTTGGGGAGAAAGAGGAGAAAAAGCAAGGCTGGGGTGTGTTCAGAGGGAGGGGGCTTACATATCTAAGGCGCTTGGATTTGGTACCTGATGCCACGCCCAGCAGAGAGCTGGGTGATGTGAGGAGCTCAGCACTGGGAAGGGGAAAAGGAGAGAGTTCCAAGAAAGCATCCTGTGTTGTGAAGGGGTAACTCTCCATGACTGCAATGACCAGAGAATGTTCTTAGGGGAACTGGAGTTTAAACTGAGACCTGAAGGGAGTTAACAAAGCAAAAGAAGGGGCACAGTGGAAGGTTCTTGGTAGAGAGAATAGTATGTGCAAAGTCTCTGCAGCAAGCTCATGCAGAGCTCAGAATGAACATATTTTCTGACCGGAAGGGGCTTGAGCCTGAGGTGGGAGGTTAATGTGGAGTTAGCAGTATTATAGAAGGGCGTGGTAGACAGAGGTTTTTAGAAACATACAACAAGTTCAGAGGTCATAGAGACGCAGGGCAGCCTGCTCGGATAAGGGAACAGAGTGCGGTCTTACTGAGCACAGAGCAGCAGAAGACAATCAAAAAGATAGGGTATTAATGTGAAAGTCCTAATGCTGTCTTAGGCATCCAAGGCTGTAGGAAAGGGAAAACTAATAAAGGTTTCAGGTCAGGGTCATGCTCTTGTCTCCCTTGCCTGCTGCCACGGGGTAAGCAGGGCCTGAAAAGGAGCCCATGCCCTGTTTCAGACTGCACCTTGGGTGATGGGGGGATTCACAGAAGATGTGTTTGGCCGGATCTTTCTCCCTGTGCTGAGCATGCTCACTCAGGACCAGCACTCAGCTAGGGGCTGGGTAACTCCACTCTGTGAAAGAGTTTGCAGGGGCTGGTGGGTTTGGAAATAGGCCTTTGATGGAGAATGGGTCAGAGAGAGAAACCTGCATCCATGTCCAGCTAATGTTCTTAACCACATGGAGCCATGGCACATGGAAGTGTCAATATTTGTTAGTACTTAGGGGATTAACAGCATTTGGGGTTTCTGGTTTTGACACAGTGTCTCACCGTATAGACCAGGCTAGCCTGGAACTCAGATCCACATGCCAGTGCCTCCTGGGTGCTGGGATTAAAGATACGTGTTACCATGCCTGTCTGGGGTTTATTTGCTTGTTGTGTTTTTTTTTTTTTTTTAAGAAAGGCCAAGCTGGCCTGGAACTTGAGAATCTTGAATTCCTGATCCTTCTGCCTTCAAACAGGGTAACCCACTGATGTCTATTGTTGTTTTTTTTAGGCAGTGTCTTGCCAAGTAGCTCAGGCAGGTGTCGGTTTTATGATGCTCCTACCTCCACAGTACACACTGTCACCTCTGCAAATATTAACACTATCATTAATGGAGTAGAAAGGAGAATCAATCCTTTTCAGGATTGATTACACAAGGTTGTAAACTAGGCATCTAACTTAGGCTAAGTTAGATCCCTAAGCTAGGCATCTAACGTGGCAAGGAGAATTTGGAGCTTAGGGAAGATATCTGAGCTGGCAATAAAGATGTGGGTGCCACCTGCAGATTGCCTAGGAGCTGAACAAACACGCAGAAATTGCTGAGAGGAGGCCCCTGAGGAATTCTTAGGAAGGAGGACAGGAGAGGAAGGCCTCGCAGAAGGACTTAGGGCAAAAACATCAAGCATCGTGGCTACATGCTCTGGAGGGCTGATGCAAGGGAAAGGGCGGTCTGCCAAGACTCAGCCTCTCACTCAAACTCGCGCCCCAGGTCTGTGACAGTCTCGGAAGGCGACATACAGCTGCCTGTCCCCTCTGTGCCTTCTGCTCCCTGAAGCTGGAGCAGTGCAACAGTGAGGCCAACGTGAGGCGACAGCAGTGTAACGCGTCCCACAAGATACCCTTCATCAGCCCCTACCTCTCAGCCCAGAGCATATCCACCGGCAACCAGGTACCTCTGCTGGGACGCCTGCGGTAGGCGCTGAGGGGACTGTGGGGAGGAGGCCTGGGCTGGAGAGGCCTGCGCCTCTCACACGTCTCATTTCCCTAGGCAAAGATCCCGCAAAGAGGCCGCTTTGGTGGGCTGGATATGTACGGAGGGCTCAGCTCAGACTTCTGGTGTAGCCGGCTTGCCATGAAGGGCTGTGAAGATGAGCGAGTCTCCAACTGGCTCAAGGCTGAGTTCCTTAGTTTCCAGGAAGGGGATCTCCCCACGAAGGTCAGACCCTTTTCTTCACCCTTAACCCCCTCAGACATCCCTAGTTCTTCCTAGGTACTTGTTCTGGATGGCCTGGGCTTGGGATCCTGGCCCTGAAACCCAGTCCTTGGTGGCCTCCTGCCATTCTTCCCTCCAGTAGTTCAACACAGCAGTAGAAACACTGACCGGTGAGAAAGCTCCAGCCCAGGGCAGGGGCGGGGGACAAGAGATGGAGATAGAGGTTCTAGCCGCAGCTAGAGTGGCTTTGCTCAAGTTACCGCCCCCTCCTTAGGCCACATCGACACTCACGGCCGCCGTGGAAACCTAGACACTGCCCAGCACTGCAGAAGCTGCTAGCTCAGCCTGAAGCCTTCCCCCCATCTTGTCCAGTGCTTTTCCTGGTCATCAATATCAGCATATTTCCCCTCACTCCCAAATCACATCCTCTTGAGTACCTAGTCATCTATTGTTGCTGAGAGCTAGTCCCCAAGCCCACTCCACAGTTTGAGAGAAGGCAAGGTCCACAGGGGAGTGGCTGACCCACTGTCACTCATCGGAGATCCTCCTGCCCTCCCCCCTCACCACCAATAGGCTTCCTGATGATTGAGCCACTAGCTGGGTCACCTTCCTATGTTCTATACTCTCTTCTTCTCCGTCTCCCCACCTTACCTCTGTGTGTGTGTGTCTGTGTACGTGTCTGTATCTGTGTGTGTTTGTGTGTATCTGTGTGTGTCCGTGTGTTCCTAGGGATAGCACCAAGGGCCTGTGTGTATTAACTGAGCCCTTGGCTACTCATATACTGGACCCTTACCCACTTTACTCTACATCCCCAGTAAGCTGAGCTGACCAATAGGGTGGGCACACCTGGCTCTCCTTACATTCCAGCTGTTTCCCAGGGACCCAAGACTGAGGGTGGGAGAAGGCAAGAGGAAGCACAGTGGGATTCATCCCAGCTTGGCAAGGCTTGCCTCTCTAGGGTCCTGCCCCTCCCAGGGCAGGCTGCCATTACCCTTAATCTAGAGAACAGTGTCCTATCAGGATTTTGATGCTCTGTCACTCTCCCTGGCTCTCCCGGTATAGATTTGTGACACAGACTATGTCCAGTACCCAAACTACTGTTCCTTCAAAAGCCAACAGTGCCTGATGAAAAACCAAAACAGAAAGGTGAGCCCCGACCCCGTCCTCACTTCCTGCCAGCCCCATGGTGCCCCTGGGAGGGTCTGTTCTGAGCCCTTCTCTCCCAGAAGCTAGGTGTGGAAACAGTTCCCTGTCAGCATCCGTGAGGCAAAGGCTCCACACAGCCTCCTCTTCTTCCTAGCCTTAGAGTGAGCCAGGCCCTCTCAGGCAGGAGTGGCCAGGGGAGGCTGGGACAGATGAGAGGAGTGTGCCCTGAGGACCCAGAGGGAGAACCTCAGCTGGCCTGAAACCTGGACGGTGAGTTTCAGCCTGGCCTCCCTGCCTTAGTCATCAGGTAGCCTAGGTGAAGGACTTCCTCTCCGTGTCTAGGCCTCCTCTCTCCTCAAGGAGTTCCAACTATTGAACAGCCATCTGCACTCCTTTCTGCCCCTAGCGCCTGCCCCTGGTTCTGACACCTCCTCACTGTCGGCCCTGTGTACACCCATCCTTCTGTAGGTGTCCCGAATGAGATGTATGCTGAACGAGACCTACAATGTGCTGAGCCTGGAGAAAAGCGAGGAGATCATACTTCGATGGAACCAAGAGTTCAACACTTTGTTTCTAGTCCAGTTTGGATGAACTGGGGCCTGCGCTGTCCCCACCCCAGCCCCACCTTTCCACTTTCTCCATCACTTTTACACTCCATCAGGTGGCTTCCAAGGTGCTCCTTGCAGGTCCCTTACCTGGCCCCTACTCACATTTCCCTCGGGCTGGGATGGCAGTCCCAGAGAGGTCTGTGATGGGAGTGCTGTGTGCCTTGAAGAATACCTTCAAATAAAATATTTATCTTTAGCTCATGTGGGTGTTTCGTCTGAGCCCCACCCTCAGTGCTGCCTCCTTCCTCCTGAGAAATCTACCTCCAGACTCCGGGGTCAGAGCACCACCTACAAATGGGAGAACTTCCTGGGAACAGCACTGAGGGAAGCATCCCCGAAGCAAGCCTCAGGGGCCAAGGAGTTGCCCAGAGAGGGCTGTGGCTGGGATATGAGCGCTCTGCTCGAAAGGGCTGTGAGGGTTTGAGGGCCTTCCTCTCCGAAGAAGCCCTGGGCTCCGTGACTTCACATGTGACTATGGGATTTGTCAAGGCCAAAGCCTGAGATTGTGTTAACCCCAGAAAGTGTGGCATAGAGTACAGTTCGCCCTGTGAGGAGGAGGGAAACGGAAACTACATCCTGTAGCTCGGAAGTCCTTGACGAGGACAGCTTTGCCAGCTGGTCCCAATGGTGAAGCACCTGAAGTGTCGCTGGCCTCAAGTGATTTGGGCACTCACAAAGTCGTACGAATGGGGAAACTGCTGAACCTCAGCTATAGGCTAACAGTAACAGCATTCTAAGTAAAACAAAACTGCTTGGGGTGCGGGGGTGGGGGGTTCATTCACTATCCTGTTTGCCCGACATGGACAAGGCCCTGGATTCAATCGGGCTTGGTGTGCATATCTTTACCCGGCACACAGGAAGTGGAGGCTGGAGGGTAAGAAATTCGGGGTCATCCTTGGCTGTATAATTTGAGGTCAACTTGGGCCAAATGTGACCCTGTCTCAAAAGGGCGGGAGAGGATGATTGTGGAGAGATTGCTTAGCAAATGAAAGCATTTGCCGAGCAGGCTTGGTGGCTTAAGTTCAATCCCCAGAGCCCACATAAAAGGTGGAAGGAGAGAACAGTCGCCACAGTGTTGACACGGGTATACGGCATGATTGCACATTGCATGAGCGTGTGTGTGTGTGCGCGCACAGGCACACTCACACACATACCACATACACACCTTCATAAATACAAATGTTTTCAAAATCCAAAACCTCTGTGGTGGCATAATCCCAGCACTTGAGAGGTACAGACAAGACAGCCTGGGCTACAGGAGACCCTGTCTTTTTTGTTTGTTTTTGAGACAGTTTCTCTGTGTAGCCCTGGCTGTCCTGGAACTTGCTCTGTAGACCAGGCTGGCTTCAAACTCACCAGAGATCCATCTGCCTCTCCCTCCTCAAGTGCTGGGATTAAAGATGTGCGCCACCATCGCCGGCTCTGAGCAGAAGCAGATGCATCTGTTTGAGGTCCAGCTCAGCCTGGTCTGCACAGCAGGGTCCAGAACAGCCAGAGCTATATAGCAGGGAGACCATGTCTCAAAAACAAAACAAAAACAAAAACAAAAAACAAAGAACCAACCAAACAGAAAATGGATAGAGAGACGTCTCAGGGGTTAAGGACACTTCCTGCGTTTGCAGAAGTCCTAGGTTTGGTCCCCAGAGCCTGTGTCTGGTGGCTCATAACTGTAACTCCAATGCCAGAAGATCCAGTGCCTTCACCATCTTCCGGCCCTCACAAGCACCTGCACGCACCTTGCACACAGGCACACTCAAACGCACACATATATAAAAAATATTTTCAACTTATATATTTTTTAATTTTAATTAAAATATAATTACTTGGGGCTGGAGAGATGGCTCAGAGGTTAAAAGCACTGACTGTTCTTCCAAAGGTCCTAAGTTCAATTCCCAGCCACCACACCGGTGGCTCATAATCATCTATAATGAGATCTGGTGCCCTCTTGTGGCTTGCAGGCATAGGTGCAGACAGAATGCTGTATGTATAATAAGTAAATAAACCTTAAAGTGTACACACACACACACACACACACACACACACACACACACACATACACATACGAAAGTCCTTCCCTTCCTTGTTCCTCTCCCCAATTCTTCCCATGTTCCCTCTTTACTCTCCAAAATAATGGCCTCTTTTTCTTTGACTATTACTGTCACACATATATACACATACACTGTAGATAACTACAACCTGCTGAGTCCATTTAGTGTTACTTGCATGTCTATAGTTTCAGGGCTGACCATTTATTTGGTAGTGGTTAAGCAATTAAGGGACGCATCCCTGGGAAAGACTCATTCTTCCTCTCTCAGCAGTCATTGGTGGCCAGCAGTTAGCTCTTTGTCAAAGATTGGGATCCCTGGTGATCATTCCCCCTTCCTCGTCACCACGTACTACTGGTGGTAGTGTTGTTCGGGTCTTATTTAGGCAGCCATAGTTACTGATGTACATGGCTGCAGCTTCCTGTCTTTTCTGGCGTTAGACTTCCTGCTCCTCTGGTTCTTCCTGCCCCTCTTCCGAGATGTTCTCTGAACCTTAGGTGCTGGAGGTGTAGCGTGTACCAGCGTCAGCTGACCTTTGCATCATGATCAGCTGTGGTTTTCTGCAGCATGAAATTCCTTTTAAACCAAGCGATGGTGGCCCATACCTGTAATCCCAGCACTTGAGAGGCAGAAGCAGGTGTATCTCTATGAGTTCCAGGCCAGCCTGGTCTATAGACTGAGTTCCAGGACAACCAAGGCTACACAGAGAGACCCTGTCTTGAAAAAAATTTTGTTAAAAACAAAAACACAAAACAAGAGATTGCCAATCGTGGTGGTGCGTGCCTTCAATGCCAGCACTCAGTAAGCAGAGACAGGAGGATCTCTGTGAGTTTGAGACCAGCCTGGCCTACATAGTGAGTTCCAAGCTAGCCAGAGGTACATAATGAGACCTGTCTCAAAAGAAAAGAAAAGAAAAGAAAAGAAAAGAAAAGAAAAGAAAAGAAAAGAAAA